TCTACTTGGTGTTTGAAAGCCCAAGTGCTGGGAAACTAATTGCATAGGACTACACAGAGTACTCATAGGGTCATGTGCTATGAATTCTGAAAGTGGCAAAAGTTTGTGTAATGTCAAAGAAGTCCAAATCGGCCTTTTTTTTTAAAGTGACTATAAAGATTTCTGGAAGTTTAAAGGTTTGAGTTTAACTGTTCGAGTCTTGTCACAGAAGCATTGTACTTCCTTGCAGTGAGGCACCAGGAGAAGGTTTTTTGTCTCACAAAAGCATGACCTTCTGCAGTTAATGTTTGTAGTTCCAGGTTGCCACAGCCTCCACTGAAATAGTCAGTGATCAAATTGACAGAGGCCTTTAGTGGAGGATAGATTACCTGGCAAAGTTGGTTTTATTAGGTTTTATTAGGCTGGAACAAAACACCCCTGTTATAGTTGCTCTGGTACTAGGAAGACTTTCTTGTGACACTGAACTTATGTTCTGGTTTTGTATATAGTAAACTGTAGACAAAATGATATGCCATCGTGTTAATGGTGACAATGCCTTTACTGCCTTTATGGTTTCAGAATGCATGGAATTTGGGATTTCTTTACTAATGATTATTGTACAGTTATTCAGTAATTTAGTTCATCTTGATCTGAATTTGAGATTTTTTTCATGTCAATCTTCTGAATCCTTTTATTTACCACGTGACCAGCTCACACAGGTTTGATAATTGTACTGGGTTTGTTACCTTGTTGTAATTACAAGTGCCAATGTAATGGATGGAACTGCTGTTTGTCTATGAAAATTGTGTGAGTGGTACAGTAGTTTGAAACTGGGCCTGTAATTTTATGACCTGTGTCTGAACTCTGGTTAGCCCTTAGCCCATCTCTCTTTGCTAGTTGATCTAATCTCAGTTTGCCCCTTTCGTGAAGAGAATATTATAATATATAGCCAAATGAAGTATTTTCTCAGTTAAAAAAAAACCCAAACAAGCTATTAACAAACATTTTTCTAAAACACTTCCTTTGTCATTAACATTATTTATGAACTATGCAGTTGCTGAAACAGACATACAGTTTTTGAAAAATACAACTCTGAAAACAGAAAGGGATTTTAAGTTTGGGTAGACCTGACTGCAGTATTTGCTACTAAGTGCTAGTTGTGCATCAGTACTTCATTTGCTTGTCTCAAGGTTAGTCCAGGGAATTAAAAAAAAAAACACCCCACATGAGTTCAAGTAAACTTTCAATTGTCATGTGATCTGGCATCATACCCGCTTTACTGTATGGCATTTGGAAATCGAATACTTTCAAACCACTGTGTCATGTGACTTAGTTGCTCAACATAGCGTTACAAATACTGAAATTCAAGATGTTACAAAATTTCAGCTGTGTCCGTATACTGGGCAATGTATCAGTCTGCTAAACCAACATGGTTTGGAGACTTGTTGATGGGGTGAGTCTTGGTCTTTCAAATTAGACAAGTCACTGAAATCTTTAGACAAGTCACTGTTCAATCTTTGATGGAAATGCTTTGATGGAAAGCTTCATAAAGGTTATTTACTGTATTCTAACTGATCTGTAGTGATTTGATCTGTAGCTTTAAACAGATGAGGAAAGGGAGAGTGACGAAGCATTTTCATGCATGTGTGAGCTTGGGCACACCTTACAGCTTGAATATGGACTAGAGTTCTTAGCAGCTGTATGAGGTGTTACAGTGTTATGCTGCCAGTTCAAGGATAAATCCTGGTTCTTCATAATAATACCCTCCTGTTAATGTTTTGTAGTCTTCAATAAGATCACCTACTGTTGTTTCTCAGGAAAGCTGATAATAATCCATACTTTGTGGTTTTTTGGCATAAGTGGGTATAAATGGACCTGTGCTACAGAGTCAAAATTCTCTAGTTAGGAAATGTGTTCTCATGGGACATAAAGCACTGTGGGAATGAATTAGAGAAATAATGAGTTTTCTTAGTCTAGTAATTTAGCTTTTATTTTTGAAATAATACATTGCATGTAACTATGGGTGGGTAATGACTCTGCATAAAATGAATGATCCAGTAGTTAAATCTCTTGCTCCCACTTTCCAGTCCCTCCCAAAACTATTCCTGCTTAAAATGTATTGCTGCTGTTGCTTCCTCAACTCTAGTAGAGAGAGAGTACTTCCAAGTGTCCTTAAAAAAAAAAAAGTCCACGGAGCTCTAACAGACATGTGGGACACTCATGTTCTGAGATGCTAGTGTCATCTAATAGTTTTCCAGGCCTTTGTACGGATCATTGATTCGTATTAGTAGCTCATTCCAAGTTTTGTTGCTGATGCAATATTAGAACTTCTGAAGATTTCTATTTAAGACACTAGCTTTTTTTTAAGAATTGTGCTCAGTTTGTTGCTGTATTGTTTTGCACTTTAGCCCAGTAGTGTTAAAACTTACATGCCAAAGTGCTCTGAATTTGTGCTCATCCAAAGTATGTGCTTATGTGCCATCTTACATTGATTATGCAAATATGGGAGTAAGGAGTACTTGCCAAGCCCCTGTGTATCATAATATCCAAGGTTTCCTAAGAGGAGCCAAGAGTTCTAACATTTTTACTCAGAGCTGCCAGTAGTAGCAGCAGCTACTAGACTTTGAATGGACATGATGTAGCCTTACTTCTTAATCCCGCTTTCCCTGGAAGTGTTCCAAGGGAAATGAAAATTTACTTGCAGTGTTAGCAAAGTAAACAAAATACAGGTTACTCGAATACCCTAGCAGAAGTTTTAGTTGCCAGTAGTGAAATGAATAGATGTGGCAGTTGTCTGTGAGGAATTACAGGCAGGTAAACATGAAAATGAAATGTTAAGAGGTCCCATCTTATTTCTTTGTCTTGCAGAGTTGATTTTTTTCCACCAGTGCAAAATGGTCAGGAGATTAACATTTTCTTGTGTATATGTAGAAGTAGGCCAAATGGAGGTTGTGCAATCAACCTGAATTACTGCACTTACGAAGCAGAGGGATGGATCCCTATAGAGGAACCAAATGCTTTTTAACATGTAGCTCCCAGGGTAGGCTTCATTTTTGTAAGCTTCACTTCTTCTGTGATACTGTAACTAAATTTTCTTAGCTCAGCTGAAGACTGATCTTTGATCCTTTTCCCTTCTACTGCAGTCTCTTGGGCACTGAACCATTTCTGTACTGAACAATTACACTCAGCATCTGATTTGGACTTCCATTTCTGAAGAAAATAATATTTTCTCTACATCTGGATTTACTCCTTAGAATGCTTCAATTCAGCTCATTATTCTTTAGTCTTTTTCACAACAAACGAAAATTTCATATAACAGAATAACTAGGCTCATTTGCTATTTCATTACTCTAGATGACAATAATGTTTCATTTTCAACTGTGACCTATGAAGTTGTTTATAGAGGCTTGTCAAAACTACTCGGCTGTTTGGATAGGCGGCTTTGATAGGAACCAAGAACTAGATTTACAGGCATAGTTAGTAATTCTTGAACTGAAGCTGGTTTGTAGTTGATTAAGAACTTTTCTCAACAGCATCTCATTTTGACTCTTTCTCCATCTCTGCGTTGCATTTTTTAAATTTACTTCTTGGTTGTGCTTGCAGTTGAAACTGGCTTCTGATCACTCCTTAAAAGGGCCTAGCTAGGCAGGTCTTTTCAAAATGCGTATGTTTCATGGCTTGGTGTCAGGTTGCAGTGTGACTATTAACCTTTTCATAAATTACAGACTTTATCAAATAATACCATCAGCATGCTTTCCTAGTTGAGTCACTTGTAAGGGGGGGGATTGTACATCATAGTACATTCAATGAATTTTTAGAAGACAAAAACTGATAATACTCACAGTATTGGTATGATCATTACCATGTTGGAGGAAAACTGTTTTGTTGACATTTCATTTGAATGATGGATTTCAAAATACATATTTTCTGCATTCCCTCTTGATGTAGGAAATGAATAAAGGTCCTAGACTGACCTATAAAACAAGGAGTATGATCCACAGCTCATATATAGCTTTAATCAAATTTATAACAATGCATTACAAAGTGCATGGTTCTACTGGAATCCTGACAGTGGGAAGGTACAGGCCAGTAGTTCCTGAAACAAATCCAAATATAGAATCTTTTCTCTGCAGTTTTGTAAACATTTTACTTTACTACCCTGGCTAAGCTTGGAATCCTGTGGGTACGAAGGAATTTGTCAACTTTATCAGTGTTAACTATCTTCTGGGCAACTATGCGTTAGTCTCTTGTAGTCATTGCCTAAAGTGGAAATAAAATGTCTATACAGGTCTTTAAGCATCTGCTGCTAATATGTTTGAGCTGAATCTTTTTTTAATTTTTTTATCTGCATGCTCTTATGGGACATATTCTTGGTGTATCTTGTCTGCACCACTAAACAATAACATAAAGCAGTACTATGATGGAAATGCTAGACATGGATTGGAAGGAAAAATATGCATGGGAGGCCTTCTGCTTGTCCTCACAACATTGGTGACATTTAATTTTTTGCCCTGAATTGATATCAGACACTTAAGGGTGGATGTCACAGTCTATTTGGCTGCAGTTGATATTTTGCTACATTTGTCTTTTTGCTTTTATGACACTTAAGTATTTTTCCCTTTGTGATGTTGAAAACCTAGTGAAGAGCCTTTATCTTCTCCTTAATGGGATAGCAGAAGTTGATTGACTTTATACCCGCACCTCAGTATATTGGCATGTAATGACTTCTGCTTTGATTGCATTTTCACTTTGATGTTTGGTATTTCAGTTGCTGCTAAAGTGTAGGAGTGTTTCCTCTTAAGAGAAAATTAAACATGTGCACACACACTTGCCAATTTGTGTCTTTTGTTTTGTCGTCAGACTTTGTTTCCAGGAAAAGTAAGACACTACTCGCTTTAGTTTTTAGTTAGCTTTCAAGATTGAACATTGGTCAGTGATGTGCCTTTGCAGCCAGGAGAGCTAATGGTATTCTGGGCTGCATTAGGATTTCTGCTAACACTGAGTACTTCTCTTTGTTGCAGGTGGTATGGTCAAGAAAAGGACTACAATGTTCTAGTTATGGATCTTCTTGGTCCCAGCCTCGAAGACCTATTCAACTTCTGTTCTCGCAGGTTTACGATGAAAACAGTACTTATGTTAGCAGACCAGGTATGTACAAATCTTGCTGTGAGGAAATTAAAAACCCTAAAGTATTTTGTGCAATGTGGTTCTTTTTAAGTGGATTAAATAATGTGTTATGCGGTGTTGTATATAGCTAAGTGAACACTTGACCTATATAGGAATGAAGTGATGGTGGCTTTTGTGTGTTCTGGCCTACAAAATGAATGTAGGCCTGTAGTGGGAGGGCAGTGCAGATACCAACTCCTTGATGCTGCAAGTCTAACAAGTGCAGCTTTATTAAAGTAGCAAGACTAATATGGGTGGATTAACTCCCAATATCAGCCATGGGGGTGGTGTTAGAAGACCTGAAGCAATCTCCAGTTATGGTTGATCCAATTCAGTGGAAACCCATTACGTGTTGGCCAGCTGCAGTGACAGGTGGGCAGCACGCAAGTATATGGGTCTGTTCTTATTGAATACCACTATGCAGTCACAACCTCCTGTAACTTTTAGTACCAGACCGTGAGCTCTGGTGGTTCGTGGTGCTTAAGGACAGTTCTTTAATATGTTAGTGGAGATGCCACTCTACCTCAAAGTTAAAGTTGAGGCCTCTAAAACTGAGGTATGTTAAGTATTTTTCTAGCAATTGGTATTTTTTCGACTTGGTCATGAGAGTACAGCATTTGAAATAGCCAGCCATATTTATTTCTTGCTGTTTAATAAATAGCTTGATTGTGCTGTCTTCAGCTACTTGAAAGGCAGTAAGGATTTCTCCAGTTGAATTTGCAATGGTAGTTTAAATTTCATCTGATATTATGTAATTGATGTTAGTACCAAGTTGTCAGTTAGCCAGATGCTCATAGAATCCTAGGCTCTTGGCCAAGGAAGCTCACCACATTTGTGTGGAGACAGGGTCAGCTGTCCCTATTCTCAGCTGCTTTCAGTGAGTGGAGCACTTGCTTTAGAGAGCTATTTGCTTGCTCAGTTAGGTAGAGTCTGGGTGTTGCTGTGTCTCCAGGGAATCTGTATGGTTTTCATGCAGTATTCCTTTGGATGATAAACACTAATTAGTTGTCATCTGGGAAACATAGATGGAATGTATATCAGTGCAAGGAACTGGCTTTTAGGGCATAGTCCAGTAGAACAGCTGGCAAGGGTATGGTGGTGTAGCAATTCAACTCACTAAAGACTGCGTGAAGAGTGTTTTAGTAGCTGGAACGCTGTACCACATAAACCCATGTGCTGTGATTTCATGCACAGGAAATTGCGTGACCGTATATGGTGACACAGATGTGCCAGAGTTTCTCTGGATCTTCATTGCTGACTGTTATTCCTGGATCACCGTAGCCTAGATATGACAGTGTGGACCACAATCAAGTTGCTACTTGCTCCTTGAAAACTGTTATCTGGAAAAGTGACTCTTGATGATGAATGAATAACTGGGACAGGGGGAGGGAATGAGCTTTAAAATTGTTTTGTGGTGTAGAAAACCTTTGTTTGAAGTAAGGAAAAGAAATTACTCTTTAATGGAACACTGTAGTTAAAATGAATGTGAATGTCTGGGAAATAGTTTCAGGTATTTAATCTGCCATTTTCTGACCAAGATTATAGATTTTTAACATATAAGAAAGATAAATTGATTTGAACAGTGTTAAAAAAAGACTTGGTTTTCATTAATCAAATGTACAAACTTAAGTTGTAGAGGAAGGTAACATTAAAAATTCATGCCTTCATTGGAAGTTGAAGTGAATTGTATTGTTCTAATTGAAATCTTACCTGTTTTGTTGTTGCTGTTTTTTTTACAGATGATCAGTAGAATTGAATATGTGCACACAAAGAATTTTATACACAGAGACATTAAACCAGATAACTTCCTAATGGGTATTGGGCGTCACTGTAATAAGGTTAGTCTAATGCTCTTTGTTTAAAAGATCCAGAGGAAATGGTTATGTTACTTGATTCAAGCTGCACCACCTTTTTAAAACTCATTGCTTAAACTGATGTTTTGGATGTTGCACCATGGTTCTTTGATGTGAGAACTTGGATTTCTCAGTGCCGCCTTCTAAATGCAGTGGCATACACGTGTGGGTCTCTGACCCACCCTGTGAGATGCACTTGATTGCAAGATGATTTCTAGACTTGCAACAAAATTGTGAACTAACCCTAGAGAATATTAGCTACTTTTCTCAGTGATGGAATTTCATTATCAAGATGACTATTGTAATACCATTTTTTTCCTCAACGGTAGTCAAATGTTATCTTTTGCTTTGGGGCTGACTTCCTGGGATGAAAAGAATTCATACCAACGTGGGAGCTCCTGACTTACCAGTCAACAGGGCGTTAAATCTTGCAGTGACAGACTGGTGAAGAGAACTATTCAGCCATCAGAATTGTGGATATAACTAACAGCCAACATGTAGATCAATTGCCTTTATAAATAAATGAAATTAAGCAAATATGTTGATAGAAGACTTAAGTTATAGAGTACCTGAATTATATGTTGTACAACAAAAAACCGTTATTTTACTTTGCGGAACAAAAAGAAAGCAAAGTGGGGGGGGCGGGCTGAGGTGGTTACATTTGGTTGGATGGGTAAATGTAGTCAGAAGTGCATGTTTCCTGTTGAAAACCTTGTATAGAAGAAAACTTTTTAATTTTATTTTTAGTTCTCTTGAGTGAAATATGCTTAATCCTGCAATTTGTATGTTGAGCTCGGGCAGACAGGCAGCATTGGCAATGCATTAAGCATGCTACTTAATAGAAATTAACTTCAGGACAAATGTATGTGATCAAGCTGTTTATTGGAAGCAAGATTCCCACTTATCTTCTCTATATGCCATCCGAGAATGTCTCATCTCTTTAGGCACTACTAGTATTTAAAATGTTTACCTTTGTTTGCCTGTATGAATGCCAACTTCAGGGCTGTGAATGTTAGAAGGGGAAAGCTTGATTAACAGGAGATAACAGCTCTTGTCTGAAGAGGTGCAGTGCACTGAATGTTTAGATACAACCATTGTTGGAAAAACTTGTAAATCCAGCTGAAAGGCAGTCTTTATGTAATCCTGTTGCTGTTAAACTTCACTTGTTCCCAAGTTTCATACTTTCACTCTGTAGAGCTCTATTTTTCTCTGCTGTGTCGAGCAGTTAGGCTCCTTAATTTTCTGGCATGACTTGGACTATAACTTAAACTAGGGGGGGAAAAAAAGTTTTAGTTTCTGACTTGTAGTCATTCTTTTTGGGCCATTTTTCTATACTTTTGCACAGTCATGCTAGGTGGGCATTGCGGCACTCTGTTTCATCTTGATGTGGATTAATGGCCTAGAAATTGCTGCTGTGCTTACTTTAGTGGAGGAACACATTAGATTTGCATCAGCTGTAGTGAAAAACAAAATTGCCTGTAAATCATTATATTTTTTCCCATTAGTAGACTAGGGAGCCATGCAATGATATGGTGGTAAACACTATCTGGGGCACAGGCTTCATTACTATTACAGGGGTTTAGAGATTAGGGAGGTAGTTCGTGATGGAGGTGCAAATGGATAGATTTACATGAGCAAAATGAGGAATGGGTTGCTTCAGTTTGGAATCAAGTGCTTTATCTACGGAATGCTTGCCACCATACAGTATTTACTTTGTTTCTTTTTGTAACTAAGTGTAGTTTGGGGTTTTTTAGAGATGACTATACACAGCTAAAGAAAATCAGCCACAAAGACTAGAATAGCATGGTAATCTTGTTCCAGTAGCTTCCTGTCAGTTACATTTTTTAAAAAGTTAAATTGATTTTTTTTCAAATTTTAATTTGGTGATTGGGAGAAATTTTGATCCCACCTTAAAAGATGAATTTTCAGCTCTGCTAGAAATAAGCCCTGCATGCTTATGAAAGTAAACTTTAAGGTGACTAAATGCCTTCTACCTCTTCCTTACTGAAGATTTACTTTTTCTAAATGTCTTTTGGGGGAAGGGCAGTTTGTGGAACCAAATGATGCTTTTGTAAGCAAAACCTCAATTTCCTTTTTTAATAGAGCCAAATGTCACCATTGCTATCCCTGGTCAAGGCAGTGCCATTTTGGAGTGGCTCACAGTTGAAATAATTTACTTTGTCACATCTTTCAAATTTTCTCCTTGGGGGGAAAAAAAAAAAACCAAACAAAACAACAAAACCCAAAACAAATATACATAGTTTTTAAAAAACTACAGTGCTTAGTGGAAGAAGGATGGCATTTGGCTACCCTGTTCTTTCTCGAACGCCTCGGTGTTGCCTGTCTGCGCCGGCCATTGTTGCAATGTAAGCAATACTGTTTGATGCACTGCCACCCTCTATTGTTTGTTCAGTGTTTAGAATCTCCAGTGGGGAAGAGGAAAAGAAGCATGACTGTTAGTACTTCTCAGGACCCATCTTTCTCAGGATTAAACCAGGTCTGAACTGTCTCCTATTCCAACCTCAACCCCAAATTCATGTGCTTTATTTTTGTTTTGTTTTTGGTTTGGTTTTGGTTTTGTTTTTGTTTTTTTTTTTTCTGGAGAATGTAGACCTTGCGAAAGCACCTCTTATGTTGGCATTATTCAGACATACTTGGCAAACATGTAACATTACTAAGATGTTTCCCTGTGGCGCTTGTTTAAATTGTGGAATTATTTCTAAACTTGATATTAAAAAGGGCTAAATGTACGTGCTTGATTTCAGATACAGAAGCAGGTTTTATTTTTGTCCTTTAAAACTCAATGGTGATCTATTGAATGTGTTTAAGGATAGACGTGCCACCCTAGTGGTAGTGTAGGACTGTCTGCTTGCCTTCCTGTAGGGTTCCTGCAGTGTTTTTGATCACACGTGGAGAAGTTCTGTTACGGCTTCAGCCAGACTCCTTCCCATGCGGTTTGTTCAAAATCTTTCCAAACGTGTAATGAGGACTCTTATATTTTCATCCATTGTGCTTATAAAATGAAATTACTCCAACAAGCTGTGTCTTGAAGAAGCATGAGCTTATCTTGTAGGGTTAAATGTAGTACTTCTGACTCTTTAAGAGAAGATGAATTGGAGAGAAATGAAGACACATGCCAGTTCATAGCAGGACAGCTGGAAATCGTGGAATATGAATTATAGCTCAGGAGTTTGGCCATAGAATCAGTCTGTAGCTTTCTACAATAATAGTCTTCGTGTATTAAATCCTAGGCAGCTAGCTGCTGTACGCAAGCTGACAGGCTTTTGTTATCTGCTTCTAAAACTTTCTTATCAGTTGAGGCAGGGACTTTGATCTACTTCTCTAGTTGCTCTTGGCAAAAATCTTGCCCTAGTTCTCAAGTTTCCTGAAATGCAACAAACAGAATTAAGGTGATATGAGGTTATCTGTGGGAATACGTCTGTGTTCCTGCTGGTTGGCATCGGTACATTCTGTGCTCATCCAAATCGGGCTGAGTCTTCCAACTTAACTCTTTGCAAGGTGGATTTACTCCTTTGCCTTTCACCCATCTGGAATGGGAAATAAAGAATGAGCCTAAGCTAGGGAACAGAGTAAACTTCCCCAGAGAAATCAGTGCTGTAAAACAATATCCAGTTACTTGACTAGCATAAAACAGGTCTGTGTTGCTGAATTGATGCTTTTTAAAATTATTTTCTTTTTAAGGGGTTCTACCCATACATCTTGAGGGAATGCAGAATTACCTTGTTCAGGTCTAGTATCAAGAGCTTGTAGCAGCTGTGGAAGAGGCAGAGCATCATTTACTATTATAATGCTCTTGAAGAAAGTAGTCTTACCATGTCTGTGCTAAACAGGGCTAGACACCAGCTCTTTATATATTAGAGGCATGCTTCCAGTGTTGACTGTTTTGTTTCATGAACTGTGACTTTGTCCCTTCATACCATTAATTAATGGCAGAATCCTCAGGATTACAGAAAGCACATGAAGACTTTGAATTGTTTGAAGTGTTTGTAACTAAATATGCAGTGAAAATGTTCTGACTGATGTGTATAGTGTTTGGTTTTCCCTCTTTCTCAATGCATAGTATTTTGCTTAAGAGCTATTGCAAACTATACATCAGAGGCTGTCGTCAGATCAGAAGGCTTTAATCGGAAAATGAGGGATTCCATTTGAGCTCAGGCTTTGCTTCTAGGAAAGTTGCATTTGCAGTATAGTAATGACATAGAAGCTTTATACTCTCTGCTTGAGGAGCTTAGTATCAAAATTGCTAACCTGGTTGCTGGAGAACATGTCCATGCTCACTAAGTGAATAACTACCTCTAGTGGTAGCTGTGGCGGGTGCAACAAAGACAAGACCCCCGCTTTCCTGAACTGTCTGATCAGAGTAGTTGTTTTAAAAACTTGATTTTACTTCCTCTTGATCAAAGCATTCTGGGCTTTCAGGGTGACTTTCACTAGAATAGCAAATGTAGAACTGCTGTGCTTTGTGGTTGCATGTAAATCATGGTAAGATTACAACTCAAGGTTTTCTGCACCAGCATCAGTAGTTTAAGAGGTTTTTAGCTTTGTTTTTTTCTGTCCAGACTACCTAATTAGAAAATCTTCTTCAACAAGAATTCTAAAACCTACCTACCGTACATTCAGAAACTTTCAGTCTTTCAGTGTCTCTGATATTTCCATGTCGAGTGTCACTTTATAATTCACAGTGCTTCCAGTGTGCCAGGGTGACCCTTTGTTTCAGTCTTGGATGCAGGTATACCTGCATATCAATCTCTAGTACTTGTTTGCATTTAAAGCTGTATCTTCTGTTCTGGAATCAACTTAAAGGTGATACTGAATACATTTTTATTGAGACCTTATGTCCTCTTCCCATCATATCCTTCCTGCCCCCAAGTTGCTTTTGCAGTATTCATTAATCTGTAGGGGTTGTAGTCCCTGATCCTGCAGCATTAATCCAGCGTTGGAATCCAGAGCTCAGCCCGATGATTTGTAGCTTGAAGACTGCTAGAATTTGAACTGTTCTTTACATACCTCTGCCTCAGCCTTTTTTGCCTAGTCGTGAAATCTTGTCGCAAGAAGGTACAGTCTGTATTAACCTTTGTAGATAGGCTGGCTGTTAGCACACTAATTAGCACACAGTTGTTGCTAAATACGAAATCATTGGGCAAGTTTGGTTATTGGAAACCTAAGTTGGATTCTATGTACTAGGCTCTAGCTTACTGGCTGTATTAATATCATCATCAAGTGTGTCACACTGCTGTGATAGTGTTCTGGGAGTCTTAAAACGAGCATATGATTGAAAGGAAGATGTCTTGTTTGCTATTGAACATTTTGGCCTTATGCTCTGCAAAATGGCCAGTGTTTTTTAAGACAGAATAATACAGGATGTGCATAACTTGCATTAGGCTGCTGAGCTGCCATTAACTGTCCGTATGTGTAAACTGCTCTAGTGTGAGTGGGTTTCTGTGAAGCGTGCTTTCACACATAATAGTTTCCTTCCTAAATTGTGCACTGTAGTTATCGAGCTAATGTGATACAAAATACGATAGTAACATAAAATAGTTGTAGAACTAAGCTACAGATGCTGAGTAGCACAATCTAATCTATTCTACTGGATTGAGAAAAAGCTTGAACTAATTCACTATTAAGTTTTTGAACTAGCTAGTTAAAGCTAGTTGCGACTCTGCACTGTTACTTTGCTTCCTCTTAACTGTAGGCTGTTACGTTGTGTGAATGTCTTAAAAAGTAGCTAATGCCTAGAGAAAGAGGTTGGGGATTCCTTGCATTGTATAGGAATATAATCTATTTTCATTTTTCTTTAAGTTATTCCTTATTGACTTTGGTTTGGCCAAAAAGTACCGGGACAACAGGACAAGGCAACACATACCGTACAGAGAAGACAAAAATCTCACTGGCACAGCTCGATATGCCAGTATCAATGCACATCTTGGCATTGAGCAGAGGTGAGTTCAAGGAGATTACTGCTGTGCTTTTGGAGGCTGCGAGACAATCTTATTTGTAAGCTTCTGAAGTGTCTGAACTAATTTTATATGAATAAGTGTATATATCCCTTTACAAGTGCTTTTTGGCTGCCTATGTAAGGGTAGGGGGAAAAATCCAAACACCTAATTTGCTTCTTGAAGAGAGTCTTAAGTCTTGCAGGCATGAGGTGGATGTTTTATTTTTTTTAAAGGCTAAACTGTACTTTCATGAGGATTTGTCAGAGGACCTTCACAGATAAAATGGTGCACTTTCTTGATTGTGTTGGTGCCTGTTGATGCCACTGCTGACTGGCTTGAGATGCAGTTCTGTAGCCAGAAAGGGTATTCTAAAGCTGGTGTCTGTGTTCTGCTTTCTCACTCTCCCTTCAAGTTAGTAAACTATCCTTTTGCCTGCAAGCAAGACTTAAAAGATCTTCTACTTCAGTCACACTGTATTTTGCTCTGATATACACAGCCATAGTTGTGGCTCTGTATATACATATGTACACGTGTGTTGTGTTTTTATATGTTTGAGCTTTGCTTAATCAACAAACACATTTTATCATCTGGATCAAAAGCATATTGCTACTACAATATCCTAGGAGTGGTCCAGTGGAGGTGGCACTTCAGGTTGTTTGGAAGTGTGTGTTAGGTACTCATGAGATATGACGTGATGCCTCTCTTCTCTTCCTTACCTTTGTGCCTAGATATTGTACTGTATAAGTTTAATAGTGTGGCTTTACCACATGATGCTGAGTTTAATTGGACATAGTTAAAATTTCCATTACGATCTGTGCCTCTGATGTTCAGTTTAATCAAGATGGGAATGACCGAAGTTCTAGTGGTCAACTTCAACAGAACATGTAACTCAACAAATCTTTGGTGCTTTCAAATGCTCCATGTTTCCTCTTTGCTTTAATTTCCCTAAGGTTCCTTAAGTGTATTTTACTGTCTGTCAGTATCATTATTTAAGCCTAATTGACATGTGGGTAAATGACAGGTGTCATTTCTGAAGTACACTTCATAGAACCCAAGCCATTCTTGTAAGGGAATAGCTGTGCTAGCACCTTAACAGTGAAGGGAGGGAACTGCAAAGGACTATTGCTTTTGAATTTAATTGGAGGTCTTGTACTGTCTCTGCTGGTACTTGAAATTCTAATATATTTAGAAATGTAGCTTAGAGCATGCTAAAAACTATTAAACTGTCTCAATCAAGCCATAAGTGAGACAAACAAAAAATATAGTCCTGTAATCAAGAGAAACCAGTTCTGAAGCTTATGGCAGAATATTTCAGCTGTTGGTGCTGTACTTTAACTGTTACAGAACATGTTTTTCTGTATGTAATGACAGCTGTTCTCAAGGAGCTGTTTGCAATGTTACCCATTTCTTATTTTAGTAATGGAGAGTATTGTCCTGTTTTCCAAATTGTGAGAATCACTTTTATCAGTATATGCTCAAATGTAATAATGTCCATTGCAGATTTACAGAACTAAATGTTTCCTGCTAGAAAATCATGAAATTAAACATTAAAACAATGAGCTGGGGGGGGGAGGTGGTGGAAACTATTAATCCCTTTATTGCTTCTGAATTTACCACTGCCATCTGAGAAAATGTAATTTTATGTCATGGCCCCATACCGGTTCACTGAATCCTGTTGATGATTAAAATCTGCAATTCTAATAGAATTAGCAAGTTTTGCAGGCTGGAGTTTGTGGTCTTGGTATCATTTTTCATCCCCCTGTCTTTGGCTGTCATTTAATATTACAGCTGAGGTGACCTTAGAGCTAGCTTCTGTCAAGAGGAGAGAACCAATCTTTTCTTCCCTGACCCCTGTGCACAGCTAGTGCTTTTTTGGCCTTGTGGTGAAATGGTTTGGGGAGCCAAGCTGATTTTCTTCTGGGATAGCTCCCTGAACTTGTTCCCCGAAGGGTCTGGGAGGTTGAATGTGAGTTGAGGGGGTGACAGCCAGGCCATTCTGGTGATTATTTGTGGTTATATTGGGTTGGCTATAACATAAAGCATCACCTACAATTTCTTTCCTCTCATACCAAGATCTGGAGATAGATCTGTCCAGGTTCTTACAGATTGTTCTCACTTAAAGGGAGCTGTTTTACCCTCACCCATATGTATAATCCTGTTTGCAATATGACTCTCAGCCTTTTGCTCCCTTGTGGGCGTAGGAGGTGCATAGTCTTTCTTGCCACTGTTTAAATTTTTTTTTTCTTGCAGATCTGCTTGGGTGGCAAAGCAGAAGCAATACTTGTCAGGTTCTCTTGATAAGGAAGCTGGGAGGGAAAAAAGTTGTTTTTCTGTCTCATGTTAAATAGATGTCAGCTGCAGAGGGGCAGTCAGAGGAAAAATCTGATTCTATCACAGCTGGGAAGAGGCAAGTTTGCCAAGAGGAAAAAAAATCATGGAGTGTTTTTTCCACTTCAGTGAACTGTACTAGCCTTAGTAATCATGAAAGCTGTGTAGCAAAGTATGATGGTGTTCATGTGGCTGAAGTGCGGATCTGGAGCATATGCACTACAGAAAACATTTGAAGACTTCTAGATGAGAGTTTGCACGTAAATTCTCAGTGAAGTCTATGGATGCATAACTTTGGAGTTCTCCAGCTGCCTTGAAACAGTCGTCTTGTGGGAAGAAAGCAGAGGCATCTCTCAGATTGATGCATGCACCTTTCTAAATATTGCTTGTCTTTTAAAAATCATGGAGACAAGTCAGAGTTTTTTAACAGACATGAAGACAGACAGGAGTTATGCCCTTTTGGGGCTAGATGTTCAGTGTTAGTCCCAGACTGGAGCAAGGTTCAGGGAAAAATCTTCCTTAATGATGTTAAGGCTAACATCATGTATCTCTTATAATGTATTCTGTGGTTCCTATAGGTAAAACTTTAGTTTCTATACAAGCTACTTAATTAAATGGGAAAGATGTGTAATGTTTCATTTTTTTGTTTCCCAAATTATTCTAATGCAACTGCAGATGGAAGCTTACCACACGATACCTATTGACTATTCCTTGCTTGAAAAATGAGTAGAATCTCCTTCCTGCTTGTGAAGACTTGTTATATGCCTGCCAGTGGAATCCTGAACACCTAGATGTCTTATCTGTATTAGAAAGAGACCTTCCTTTGCACCAAAGCTTAGGTTTTATTCCTTAATTGTTTTGTTTTTTAAATTTGGGAATGCTTGCACTATTTGGAATAAAGTATGAAATGCCAAAATTTGTAATTCATTGTGTTCTTCCTCTTTCTCCAGTCGTCGCGATGACATGGAGTCTCTAGGCTATGTATTGATGTACTTTAACAGAACCAGTCTGCCTTGGCAAGGATTAAAGGTAGGTTATCATAGAATCATAGAATGGTTTGGTTGGAAGGGACCTTAAAGATCATCCACCCTGCTATGGACCAGGACACCTTCCACCAGACCAGGTTGCTCAAAGCCCCATCCAACTTGGCCTTGAACACTTCCAGGGATGGGGCATCCACAGCTGCTCTGGGCAACCTGTGCCACTGCCTCACCACCCTCATGGCGAAGAATTTCTTCCCAACACCTAGTCTAAATCTTCCCTCTTCCAGTTTAAAGCCATTGCCCCTTGTCCTGTCACTCCATGCCCTTGTGAAAAGTCCCAATTTTTCCTTGTAAAAAGTCCCAAATGGTGTTGCTTCCCCCCCCCC